TTTGGTGTCAGCGTGACGCAGAGTCTGTGACATGATTTAGAGTTTTTTCAACAGTTCAGCTGTCTGGTGACAATGGGGAAGAAGCTGTTGCAGAACCTGCTGGACCTGCATTGAACGCTGCAAAGCCTCTTCCCAGCGGAGAACAGTCCATGGTGGGGTGTGAGGGGTCATTGATGATGTCACGGGCTCGGGACACGCAGCGCTGGGATGAAATGTCTTTTATGGAGGGAAGAGGAGCAATTATGTTGTGCTGATTATCAGTATAGCTACCGGTAAAAGTCTAACACTTCATAACTTAAACTGATATTGGGAACACTAGATAATGGATAGATCAAACAATTCTTGTTTTTAGTTTTGGGTCACTGGATGATTTGGTTACCAGGTCAACTGCTAGAGGATCAGGGGGGAAAGAAGCTGTGTCTGATCTTCTAACAATCAGTACTGGTGTCCCTCAAGGTGATGTCAAATCACTGTATATACCAGTGACTGCATTCAATTCTCAACATTCTCATCGGCATCTAAGTATGACTGTCCCAATAATAAAAAAACCAAACCAGTGGAGAAAACAAGAGGAATTTCCTCTTGGACAGTAAAGGAATCTAATCTCGTCCATCGCAGAACCAACAAGACAAACAACCCGCCCACATATTCTCATCTCTAAGGGGACCAATTAACCTAACATGTTTGTTTTCTGACTTCATAATAAAGCACAAGAACCTAGAGAGAAAAAAACAAAATCCACACCTAAAAACGCCCACACCTAAAAACCCAAGCCAGGATTTTAACCAACAACCCTCTCCTTATAAGACAACAATCTACAGGTCCTACTGGCCTGCCTGTACTATATAAATACAGATTAACCATTTAATAAGCATTGCATTGGTACACGTACCTCAACATCAACATCACAGACAAAGTGCTTCAGTATGAATTTAAATTCTTCAATCAGCAGATTCAGAATGATGTGTGGAGGTGATTCTCCAAGCTTTTGCAGAGAAATGTCCTTAAATACGGGAGTACATCACCTAAAGCTCTGGGGAGCTGAAATAACAGCAAGCATTTATGTTGTCCCCAAATGTTAATATGCATTTCCACAAATGAGAAAAGCAGGCTGTTCACTCCTTAAATATAGCTCACAATCCTCCAAATGAAGAGTCTGCTATAGCTCCCATCCCATCCAAGATGGAGACTGCAGTTCCAGTGGCCTAAAGCCTGCATCGGATCATCAGCAGTACATAAAAAGATCGCCGACTCACTTCTCAGCAGAGCCTGACCCTGTTTGGTATGAAAGAGCTCTTCACATAATGCATATTGGACACTTTTTCATCCACACAAGTAGCTACCTGCACTGCTAACTGAATGAGAAGAGCTGCTGGACTGCTGATCACCTGACGTGACTGAAACACAAACCAACGACAGTAATGAGGAAAAATAAATCAAATGAAAGTGGCCATCTCCACGTTAACGCCATGCTAACAGTGCTAACCATCCCTCATCTGAAAGCAGTACCTTTGAGCCACCAACCTGTTCTGATGGCTGTATGAAAACTGATCTGCTTTTACTGATGAAAACCCACTGAAAATCACTGCTCTGTTACAGACTAAATCTGCTTTATTCAATTCAAAATACTTTTTTAATCCCAAAGGGAAATAATAACCAATACTCTTAAACTGTACTAATTATGTGATGGTTTCTTTAGATGTTGGGACCCGGCAAAACAGCTCAATGATTTGTTTTGGTCAATTTTTCAGGCTTCTGGACCCTGCAGCATAACCAAACATAGAGTTTGATTAAAAGTCTCCTAAGGAAGCAAATTTAAAAAAAGCAATTGTGTAGCTGAGTCAGGGGGAGATTTAACATGAATTCAATTCAATTCATTTCTATAGCGCCAATTCACAACACAACTCATCTCAAGTCACTTTCCAGTTCAACCAGATCATTAAGTCAGATTGATTCAAAGTTTTCTATCTAAGGAAAACCAGCTGATTGCATCGACTCATTGACTCTTCAGCAATCCCTCACACTAAGCATGCTTGTAGAGACAGTGGAGAGGAAAAACTCCTTTTTAACCAGAAGAAACCTCCAGCAAAACTAGGTAATACTAGGCAGTTGCCTAGGGCCCCAAGTTCCTGGGGGCCCCATAAAACTGTTTACATGTATGGTTAATACAACTATTCCTTATTTGTGCGCCATCATTATTTATTTATTTTTCTTTCTTTTTTTTTGCTAGAATGCCATCAGAACGCTTATAATATTAAGCAATATTGTGTCATGTTTAGAAAGGTCCAAACAGACAGCAGCAAACCATTTGAAAACAAACAATGCAAAGAGCAGTGTTGCCAACTTAGCACTTCGCTATATTCAGTGACTTTTTTGACCCCTCTAGCACTTTGATTTCAAAACAGCGCCAAATCTAGCCACTTTTTTCTGCTACTGAAGACTTTGGAGACAACATCTAAAAGCAGCGACCTCTGCTCTCCAGAGCAAGTAGATTGGTAACCCCGCCTCCTGCTCTCCTCTATCTTGTCTGCTGTCATGATTCATGCAGCTATTATTTCATCCAAATGAAAAATGGAGAACAGAGAAGCAGATCATGGCTTGTCTACAGTGAAAAGAAGGACTGGGTTATTTACTTTTGCCTTTTTGGAAACACAGGAAGGAGCAATCAGCTAAGGGAGCTTAGTGCTTGGAAAAAATCTTTCATTCCTTTAGAGACAGCATGAAAAGTCAGCTGAGTACAAAACATAGAGAGGAAAACAAGAAGAAAAGGGACAAGAAGAGAGGGACAAAACCTAAAACAGATAATGGATGTCTATTCTATTAACATTTCTCTATTTGTATAACGGGTCTGTTTTATGTGTTGTCTTCTCCATTCAGAGGGCCCCCTGTCTATCTTTGCCTAGGGCCCCAAATTTACAAAATCCGCCCCTGATTGCATGATGATTTCATTCGTTGGGATCCGGCAAAACAGCTCAATGATTTCTTTTGGGTATTATTTCAGGTTTTTGGACCCTGTAGCGTACCTGAAAGTAGAGTTTGATTAAAAGTCTCCAAAGGAGACAAATTTAAAACAGCAATATTATGTTGCTGAGTTATGGATGAGCGACCATTTTACTGTCATCCACACCATGTTCCTATAAGAGCTAAACAAGCATGAAACAGGATGGAGAAAAATCTTTATTATAAGTAAATTTTCTCCTATCTTTTTCATCCTAACCAGCATCCATGTCTCCAACCCGGTGCATATCTCACCAAGATATGATTTTAGTTTTATTGTGTTATTATGAGAAACATCACAGAATAATACTGCTGTTTCTTTTTGTCACTATCGATCCGACCGATCCGTCCGATCCGTCCGGCGTGAACAGAATACCTTCTTTTGTGTTTTTCCAGTTGGGGGGTTCCTTTTGAATATTTTTGTATTTGCGTAAACATTGCATTTTCTAAAAACGAAAAAAGCAATACAGTTAAATAGCTTTTCAAACGTTACTGTGACAGCTCTGAGCAGGTCTGATGATGACGTCATGCAATACAATAGAGAGAATGTAAAACGTATCTATTTCTTCCAGTAAGGTGTTCAATATTCTATATACAATGTAGTTTAGCATTCTTAAGTGGTTTAAGTATATAAATAAGTATTTTCAATATTGTTAATTCATAGTTTTTGGGCAATCCGGATCTTATTTTATTGTTCGTGCATGTGCAGGACGGATTGTGCTTCCGGGACGGATCAGGTAGTGACTGTTAAAGAGGTGGTTTAATACAGGGCTTCCCAAGGTAGAGGTCAGGGGTCAAAAGACACCAAGTGGACAGTGGCAAAATGATTTTTTACAGTCATTGTGATGTAATACCAGATTTAATGACATAAATATCTGTAAGCAGAGAGAGCAGTTGCTTACCGGGGCCATGACCTTTTAGGGACCCCATCACTGACACCTTGTTGGCCCCCGACGCAATTGTAGTCTAGAACATCTCTTTGCAGATGTAATTGTGCGAAAAATTTCTCTTATACATACCTGATAGAGAAGTGACTGAACGCACCGTATTTATACCGCAATACATGCCAGATTTCAACAGGATGGTGAGCCGTTTAAACACGACACCAATAGCAAAGCAGACAGCGGTACTTTTAATTAATATGTTAATAACTGCGTATATTTCATTAGACGGTTGGTAAAAAATATACTCATATAATATGTTTGAAATTAAATAAAGATCTGTCTGGGTTCGATAAGCATCTCCCTGGAACTTGGGATGCCTGTAACATGTGGAGGTGCTCTGTCACCATTGGTTCCATCAAGGTGCGCAGTCACTATTTTACCGTGTGTGATCATATACTACTGAGAATTGCATAATTGTATCTTCTTGGCCGATTTATGGAACTGTCGCCATATCATGAACCTTTATAACGTGTTGTTCTTTATATGGGGCCTACCCAGATAATGTTGCTCACAGGCCTATTGTTGTGTCAGATTTACAGATAACCAACATATAGACATAATTTAATTAATGTCATCATTAAAATAGGGATAAAATTATTTCACTTTAAGTATATAAATACTGTGAAGTAATTATCTGTATATTTAGAGATCAGCAGTCTGTCAGGTTATTATATTTGGGGTCAAAGGGGGAACCATTAGGGAACCCCTGGTCTGATATCATAGCACCGCCCCTGTCTGGTCCTATATGTCGCTCAGTTTCATACTATAGTTACAATCAGCTCATCCATTATGCTGTAATAACGGCCCTTTCCATGACAGTCTGCTCAGGACAGCAGGCAGTTTGCAGTCCTGAGCCACAACTTCACCTGCTCTCCTCCTCATCCATGATTAGCCACTAGCTTAGCTTCCCAGTTCCTGATGCTAGCACAGATGAGTCTGGACTTTCTGTTCACAGCACCAGAAAAGAGGGGAAAATGTAGGAAATCATCTAAAATAAAGAGGAAAATGGACTAAAATGAAAAGGGGATGAGAGGGGTTAGTAAAGGAGAGCTAACATACCCATGTCTGCAGCGTCCATCCCGTAGCTAACTCCCACAACCGTCTCCCCATCATCGGATGCTGCGGCCCCGGATAGTGGGCTCCTCTCCCTGGCCTCCGACAGCCCGACCGCTCCCTCGGCTGCTGCTTCCATTCAGCCTCCCGGAGGAAAGACAAACACACGTCCTCCCGAAAGAAAGACCCACAGAGCGACGGTGAAATCCCGGCGGTGTGCGGGGCAACGCGTCGCTGGATGTGTCACGATAATCAGGAGTAATGTGAGACAGGAGCCCTCATCAGTGCGGGGTTCCCTCACGACAGCGGCGCGGAGTGAGCTGCTGCTGGCTTCGCTGCACTTGCTGCTGCCCGCTGAGGAGAGGATAGAAAAGCCAGCTCTGGCTCCATCTGCAGGCATGTTGAAGAACTGCAGCCTGATGTGCAGTATTCGCTGTAGTGTTTAGTTTTTTATTGTGTCCCTAAGATATCAATGCATCTTTAATTTGATCAGAGTAAAAATAGATTCATGTAAAACTCTTTAAATTAAATGCAATAATTCAATTAAATATTTCAAACATACCGACATTTAATGTAATTTGGATAAAATAATCACTATCCCACAGTAACACTGGAGTCCACAGACATTTTAGGGGGCAGGTGCTCAGGTTGGAACAGGGCACCTTATGTGTTGCATGGAGCCCCAACAGCCAAACACTGCCTGATGCTGACATTTAACAATCTCTCGCAGTCCATAGGTACTATTTACGGAAGAGGATTAGGGCCCCTTAAAAAAAAAAGGTTAACTGATTTTTAAATTTTATTTCAGTTTAGTATGGGGCAAAAAGTCAGAATTCTGACATTTTTCTCAGAATTCTGACTTTAATCTCAGAAGCCTGACTTTAATCTCATAATTCTGCCTTTTCTCTCAGAATTCTGACAGCTAACAAACACGTTGGCATCAAGCCATAGCCATGTCTGTTTTAGAGACTAGCTCTCTTGTTTTAATGACCTTCTGCTCCTCCATTAAAGAGGCGACCCCTCAGGCACATAAAAAGTTGCCTAATTCCGTCATTTTCCACCAATGTGTCACTGGTCACCTCAAACAACTCACACATTTGTCAGTGAAGCTTATTGCTCCCACATCTCTTCCCTCATGGTGCCCATCTACATGAAGATCCAAAATTCTGAGAAAAAAGTCAGAATTCTCAGAAAAAAGTCAGAATTCTGCCTTTTTTTCCCATACTAAATTTAAATAAAATTTTAAAATCAGTAAACTTTTTTTTTTTCCCCAGTGGCCCTAATCCTCTTTCGTAATGTCAAATTGGTCCCAGTTAAATGAATAACTATTTTAAATCCACCAATATAAAGCCCAGGATTCCATAATATCTTTAAGTTTATTGGGCAGATATGACAAATTAACTAAGATTTACATTTAGAAAATTAAACAAAAGAATTTATTTGATTTCAAGTGCATAATATGTAATCATGTTCCACTGACAAATCATTTTATTTCTGTGCTCAGATTAGGGAAAATTTTAGTTATTTTCAGAAAACTGAATAAAACTTTATTGAAGTTATTGAACTGTGATAATGTGGCCTGTTTGGACATATTTTTTGTCAGGGATGGATTGAGGTTTTGAGGACCCATATGCAGAGGTGAGTCTTGTAGTTGTAGTACTCACAGGAAACTGAGGGAGGAAACCAAAAATCAAACATAAAAGTACAGGAGAGAAAACAGAACCATGGATAGATCAGGGAAAACATGCATGAGGAGCCAGGAAAAGACAAGGGACCAGCACTGAGGAATGGCACAGCGAGAGTATTTATGGGAGACTGAACAAAGAAAGGACTAATGATCTGATTGGGAGCAGGTGTGAACAGATGATTCTGGAAAGGAGCTAGGAAAAAGAAGTACAGCACAAGATGGCATCAGAGGGCAATCAAGAAATACCTAAGAACTCAGATATATCCAGAAAACATGACAAAATGGGAATAAAACCAATAACACTAGAAAACAAAGAAAAACATGGATATACCTGAAAACTTAACAGAACAAAGACCGAGACATTTTCGCTTTCTAATGAAATGTTTAACAAACAAAAGTTAAGTTGTGCGCTGAAGTTGTCATAAAAAAGTCAAATAGATGTCATCAGGGAGTCCCTGAAAGGGACCATTACAGCGAAACATAATTCTGCCATTAAAGAGGCCATTAAAGATGTTATGCTATGAAGTAATTGGTTGGTGAAGGAGGTAAATGCGCTTGTTTAGCTAGCTGGACAATTAGCTGCCCCTTCACCAGGCGCAGGCGAGGCTTTAGTGAGGTGGTGCTATATGTCCCTTGGAGCAAAATGAAAAGAATCTAGAGTCTGTGTTTAATAGGCTTTTAAATTCATAAGTTGCATTTTGGGCCAAAGAATAAAAAAAGTAAAAAGCAAAAAATAATTTCAGGAGGGCACTTTTTTTGTCCAAGGATGAAAAAGGCTGGTGCTCTAGCACCACCTAGTGTCTATGAATGTCCCTACACAGTACTCTATATTTTGAATCACATCATAAAAGACAAGCAAGAGCTCCTCCACAGCAATGGGAGATAGTAACACCATAACAGAGGATCATTGCTGGATACAGCAAGATTTTCTGTCAATTATATGGTGTACAATTAGTGACATGCTGTCAATTCAATTTAAAGGCCTTGCACAAAAATGTTCATAACATACAGAAACAAATATGTGGCAAAAAGCTTCCCAGACAGAATTTATATGCTGTTCTTACAGAAGCTACTAAACAAATGCTGAGTCCGACGTCAGTGGAGGTTAGAGAGCAAACTCACCAGTGAGGCCAGGATGGGGTCAGTGTTTTTTAAAGGGGCCACAGCAAATAAGGATTAAATATAAAAACAGGGTAATCTGATGTGTGTAAGGGAGCAGCAGAAGCAAAGAGCCATTTGCAGTTCTAAAGTGAAAGAAGTTGAATGTCTGCATCAATTGGTTAAATTCAAAGTTTCTTTTGTTTCAGGTAAAAACAGGTATAATTACAAATTACCTAAAATTAAAACCTTTACTGAGGAAAAAAAAAGCAACAGAAATAATAAAGAACTACTTAAAGTCAAAAGGTGAAGGTTTTGCATGACCACATGATGTCACTCTCATTGGCTGACCATTTGATGATGGCCGCCAGTGATGGAACGCCTGTTACAAAAACAAAGTTCTACTGAATATTTAAAGTAAAACAAAAAAACTGTTCTGTGCCAGTGCAAATCAACATAACTTTATTTATTCATGTTTTCAGAACAGGGTCTAGAACCACCCATGCCAGTGTTTAATCATTGATATATTTATTTATTTATTTATTGTTCTATAGAAACTGAACATGACATAAGGGTAGGTCCACTGATCATGTGATTAATAGCAGAGGGAAGGGTGGCCAGGCAGGGGCCACTGTGCACTGAGGGGGGGTCCAAATTGGATAGGTGTAAGAATCAGCACATTGCCAATCTACACTTTACCAACAGGCTAATTAAATACCAAAAGAAATATTTTCCCAAAAAAAGCACTGGGTTGCCATCTAGCTCCACTCCTGAGAGGGAGGTACATCAAATGCGTCCAATCAGAGGCAGTGAGGGAATAGTTCCACTTTATGCTTTTTGTTTTTAATAAATACAAATAATTAGTAAAAAGGACCAATCAGTTTCTACACATTGGTGCTGCTTTTGCAGCATCACCCCCTGTAGTTCCCACCCTTAAGCAGCTATTTATACTGCTTATGTGAAAGCCAACTCCAGAAAATTATTTGTATTATTTGGTATCTTTCCCTTGCAATCTCTGGTCAGTTGTGCAAAAAGCAGCGCTAACAAGAAACCTTATGGAGAAAAAAAACTGTCAGGAGACACAACAACATTTGGATCTCAGTGAATTTTATTTGGGAAACAAAAGCAAAATTTTATGCGGGATATTGATTCTTGATGTGCTCAGGAAACTTTCTCCTTCTCTCCACCGAACCAGATCATAATCAGCTGTGGGGTCCTCTCAGAAGGTTTGCACGCCGTTTTCATCAGGTCTGTCCTGTCCGCCATGCGGGTTTTGGAACAGGCCGTCACTGGTCTGAGGTGGACCTTTACCATATGAACCAGCATTTGGAGATGCAGAGGAAAGAAAGGAAGCAACAGAATATGTGGAGCATTCGTTGTTAGGGAAGGACTGGGGGCAGTTAAAGGTATTTGGGAAGATCCTTCTCCACCACCTGGAAACAAAGACAGAGTGAGAGGTGATCTGCATGAATAATCAGCCTGAATGGTAGAGGTGTAACAACACATCATTAAATTCATTAGATTATTAACATACTAATTAATGCAACACATACGCCTTTATTTTGAAATTCACAAGCCAACACGCGTAAATCAGGTTATTTGTTGTCATTGTTTTTTCATAAGTAAATAAATGCCACCTTTGATTTAAATGGCTGATGCCTGTAAGAGTCAAATTATATTTAATCTGTTTTACTTTAGTTGATATCAATATAAATACATTTGCTAGAAGACAGAGGATATGGCCTCATATTGACCACAGACCAGAGTACTGAATGGAAATCCTACCATGACTGACATCATCATCCACATAAATGAATATATCATTGTGTCGTGATAAAGGTGGAGATTTTATATTCTGCACACTGACTCCCACTTAACGATTTATATAAACTGATCATCTTTCTGTTGTTTTTCCCTACAGAGCCGTAAATAAAAGCGTATCAATCGGTCTGTTACGGCTCAGAGAGGAAAGGTTTTTATACGTACACTCGGATCATCCAGGGGTCCATATCTTTTCATCACCTGCCCCTCTCTGTTGATCAAAAACTAGATAGAAAACAAAAAACAAAACAAAAACCCAAATGAACTAAAGCTTCTCCAGTTAATGTTAGAGTTTTTTTTATTGACCCTTTAATAAAACAAGAAAGGTCTAAATGCGTAGATGCATTTACCTTGGTGAAATTCCACTTTATGCTACTGCAGGAGTGAAAGAAAAAAAGCATGTTAGAAAAAAGTAGTTAGTGTAAGTCAATGGGCTCCAGGCCTTATAGCTCAAAATATGAGTTTAGTATTTATATAAACGTACTTTCCAAAGGTTCCCTTCCCATTGGGCTGCTCCTTCATCCACTTCCACAGCGGGTGAGCATTCTCGCCGTTCACCTCGATCTTACTGAACATGTCAAACTGGGCATCATAGGACTCAGCAAAATGCTTGATCTGAGTCTCATTGCCCGGCTCCTGATGACAGAAACAAGAAAGTCAAACTACAGAGGCACCACAGAAAGGACTTATGGTCTTTCGCACCTAGAAATAGTTAACCAACTGTGAAGTACG